TAAATAAATAATTTAAAAAATTATTTATTACTTTTATTTTATGTGTTATGTGTGTATTACCTGCCTGTAGTAAGTGCATCCATGTTGTGCAATGCCCGCGGAGGACAGAAGAGGCTGTCGGATCCCATGGAACTGGAGTTATGGAGAGTTGTTAGCTGCCATGTGGGTGCTGGAATTCGAACCTGGGTCTTTTGCAAGAACAGTGGGTGTTCTTAACTGCTGAGCCATCTCTCCAGCCCCCTACAATTTCTTTAATTTCTTAAAGTTTTTATTATGTAATCATTCACATACATGGTTAGATTTATTCCAAAATGTTTTATGATTTTTGAGACTATTGTTTCCCAATTTCTTTCTCAGTATGTTTGTTGTTAGTATATAGGAAGGCTATTGATTTGGGGTTATTACTTTTATGTTCTGCTACTTTGCTGAATGTAATTATTGGCTCTAGGAGTTTTCTGGTAGAGTCTTTAAGGATTTTATGTATAGAATCATATCATCTGCAAATAATACTTTGACTTCTTCCTTTGCAATTTGTATCCCCTTTATTTCCTTCATTTGTCTTATTACTAAGACCATATTGAAGAGGAATGGAGAGAGTGGCCATCCTTGTCTTATTCCTGATTTTAATGGGAAGGCTTTGAGGTTTTCTCTGTTTAGCATGATGTTGGCTCGGACTTGTTGTATATTACCTTTATTATGTTGAAATATGTTCCCTGCATTCCTAGATTCTGGGATGTATCCATCTGGTCCTGGGCTCTTTTTAGTTTGGAGATTCTTAATTCATCTATCTCATTAGTTTTTATGGGTCTGTTTAAATTATTTATATTATTTTGATTTAATGTTTGTAGGCCATACATATCTAGAAATTTATCCATTTCTGTTATATTTTTTTCCAGCTAATTAGATTACAGAAATTTAAAGTATGTTCCTATGGTTTTCTTAATTTCAGCAGAGTTTGATTAAATATTTCCCCTTTCATCTCCAAGTTAATAGTTTAGGTCCTCTTTCTTTTGGTTAATTTGGCTAAAGCTTTAAACAACCCCTTCATAGTCTCCACTGAAAAGTCATCTGTTATTCCGAAGGGCTGCTTTAGATGTGACTTGATCTTTCTCTTCCACGGCTTTCAGTATCTTTTGTTGTTGCTCTGTACACTCAGTGTTTTCACTATTGTAAGATGTGGGTTGTTACTTTTCCGGCCCTGTATGTTGCTTGTACTTTGACAGGTGTTATAGGTATTACTTTTCTTAAATTTGGGAACTTTTCTTCTACAATTTTATTAAAAATATTTTCTGTGTCTATGAATCTTTGTTTTTTGTTTTTTTTGTTTGTTTTTTTACAGCGTCCTGGTAGAATCTTGCATATTCTGTTCATGGGTTATTTTAGATTTGACATTTTCATTGATTGAGTGGTCCATTTCCTAAAATTTGTCTTCAAGATCTAATAGTCTCCATTCTATTTCCCCCACTTCCTTTTGCTTCTTTCCATTAAACTTTTTCTTTGATTCCTTGGGTTTTCATTTCAAGTTTGTATGAGTTTGGCTTTTCTTCAGAGAATCTCTCTTTATTGAATTCTAATTTCATGTTTTGAATTGTTTTAGTTATTCAGCTGTTTGTGTTTCCATGGTTTCCACTCGGTATTTTATCCATATACTATGAGTTCTTTGAACATGTTTATAATTGGCATTTTGAAATCATTGTCTTGTGCATCCATTATATTGCCATTTTCAGGAAACATTGCAATACTGGTGCTAATTTCTGTAGCAGACATATTATCTTGGTTATTTAAGTTGTTTGGGTTTTCTCAATGAGACCTTGACATTCGGATTTGAGTTATTGGTGGTGTTTTGTGGCATGGATAGGTGATCTTGTCTTTGTTGAATGGCTGTTTGTATCTTTGTTTGCTGTTTCCCCAGTTTGTCAGTTTATGGCCTATCTGAGTAGTGCTTGGCGTTGATGTGCAAATGGGGTGTAAAAATTGATCTCAGGGGCCGGGAGAGATGGCTTAGTAGTTGCGAGCACTGGCTGCTCTTCCAGAGGACCTGGGTTCATTTCCCGGCACCCACATGGCAGCTAACAACCATCTATAACTCCATTTTCAGGGGATCCAATGCCCTCTTCTGGCCTTCACAGGCTTTGCATGATGATATAGGTAAGCAAAACACATAGAATAAAAAATAAAATTTTAAAAATTGTCTCAGTCAAGGTAGGGAGAGGTGCAACTTTTGAGTTCAGGTGCCGGGTTTAACTCCTCAAGGACCTAAACAGTGGGTGGGCTGGGTGGTTGATAGCTGAACAGACTGGCTGATAGGTCAGGCTGGGAAAGCTCATAGGTCTTGGGGTATAAGGATCCTAGTAAACAAAGCTGGTTTGAGAGCTGAGATGGTGGAGTGCAGGGAGATATGGGAAAGGAAGTTCACCATGGCAGGTCTGGGAAAGTCCCCAGATCTGAGGTCTCAAAAGTCTTCTAGCAGAGTTGAGATCCCAGGGCACAAGGAGGTGTGGGAAAGGGCTGCTTTATCTTTTAAAGTAGCAGAAAATATTTTTACTATTCTGAATACTAACCCTTCTCAGGTTTTATATTATGACTATCTTTAATAATCTGTTAAGTTTATCTTTAATGTTCTTTTTTGAAAAGTGTTTCATTTTGATATAATTAAAACTACCAATTTTTGCTTGATAGTATATGCCATTTGGGTTTTTTCTTAAAATTATTTTTCTTTACTGTTCCCAAAGATATTCCATGCCATTCATTACTTCATTTTTTCAAGCTTATCTTTGGTTCATCTTTTTCCCCCTATAAGTGTGACAATCCAAAATCTAACTTTTCATTTTTTCTACAAAGACACGATCCATTAAATTTTTAAAATATTTTCTTTATAATTTTTATTTTATGTGTACGTATGTATTGCCAGCATGTAGGTAAGTGCACCCATGTCATGCAATGCCCATAGAGGGCAAAAGAGGCTGTTAGATCCACTGGGACTGGAGTTATGGACAATTGTTAGCTGCCATGTGGGTGCTGGGATTCGAACCCAGGTCTTCTGCAAGAACAACCAGTATTCTTAACTGCTGAGCCATTCTCCAGCCCTGATCCATTAAATTTTTACTTACTGTTGTTTCTGGCTGACAATTTTACGGTGTATCTGGTGTCTGTGTGTATATGTGTCTCAACTACTCTCCGCTGTCCCCTTTCTCTAATACATGACTATTTAAATGCATTTGTACCATTCTCATGATATTTTATAACTGTGTCTTCACAGCGTTCAAATATCAATGTTCTTTTTTGTTTTTCTTTTATAAAATTTTCTGTATAACTTAGATACGTTTGTTTTTTTCCATATAAAGTTTAGAATGAGTGCCCAATATTCCAGTTACATTTTGAACCAATTAAATTGAATGCATAGACTAATTTTAGTGGAAAATGGCAACCTACTATATTTTTCCAATTAATAATTGTACCTTTCAGTTAACCATAATTTATCAAAGTTTACAATTTCTTAAAAGATTTTATTTTTATTTTTATTGTATGTCTATGAGTATTTTACCTGCATGCATGTAAATGTATGTGTGCAATGTCTGCAGAGGCTAGAAAAGTGCATCAGATCCCCTGGACTTGTAGTTGCATATGATTGTGAGCTACCATATAGATGCTGGGAACCTAACCCAGGTCTTCTGCAAGAGCAGCAAGTGCTCTTAATTACAGTGTCATCTCTCTAGCCCCAAACATTGTAATTTTATGATTTTCTGGAATGGTTGATCTTAGCTCAGATGCTTATTTCTGTCCTTGTTTTATTTCCTCTTCAAAAAAACGTTTTCTAATTACTTATTACTAATACAAAGGGAAGTGTTCTTTTTTCCCCATTGAACTTGTAGCGAGAAGTTTTCTTACTAGGCATTATATGTTTTCTAATCTTTTTTTTAAATCATTGTTTCTGTCATTTTCTTGTTCCAGGATTTTGAGACAAACTGCTAACTCTAGGTTAAGCAGTATTGCCAGGAGTCAACAAACTTTATCTTTTACCCCAGATATGAGTGCACAAGTTATCTCCATTAATTAGCAAATAATAATTTTATACAGGTTTTTAGTATGTATCTCCCTTCCAAGAGCGAGGCAAGTGCTCAGATGAATGGACACACATGTTCCTCATTCCATCTCTCAGTTGTAACTGCAGTGGAAACAGGTTCAGTGTTTTCAAGTATTCTCATATGTGAAGCCAATCTGAGTATAGATACTTCAACCATATCCCTCATTTTAAAATGCTAAGCTCACATTAATATTTTAAACAAAGTGGAATAAAAATGATGTAAATGTGGGAGAGGAACAATTGTGGAAGAGAATGAGGAGATGGGAAAGGACAGACCAGAGGCAGGAGGGTGGAAAGGAGGGCAGAAACATTCAGGACAGGATACATACAGAAGACGTCACAAGGACAAGCATGTGGGATGCTAAGGTGGGAGGACTGTGTGCATCTGAGACTAGCCTGAGCTACCTTGTGATTTCCAGGCTAGTCTGGGCTGAGTATTAAGACCGTGTCTCAAATAAACAAGTAAAACAACCACCACTAACAAAATCACAGCAATAATGATGAAAAGAAAGACAAAGTGACAGTGAAACACACTAATTTATAGAAATAACATTAATAACTGTAAGAAATTGTGAGACAAAAAGAAAAATATTGCACAGACAATTAATCCCCAAATGCACATTTGTGTGCTGAATACAGCCTATTAAATGCTGATTTGCCAGTGGGTCAGAAACAGAACTTGTAGATGTGGCAAATGATCCAAAGATTGTTTCTCTGAACTGAGAAGTCAGATTGATATTCCTGAGACAGGGACCTAGGTTTCTGGTATGAAATTTTCCCACTGTTACAATGCTACATCCAAACACAGGCCTACAAACCATGTGATTCCTTTCAGAAAACTGTACTTGCAGATGTTGTATTAATAGATTTCTTCCTATTATCTACAGAGTTCTGTTGGAGAAAGAGCACATGTAATATGGAAGGAGCCAACAATTCCATGTTGACAGAATTTATCCTTGTGGGACTTTCTGCTCATCCAAAGCTCCAGTCAATTTTCTTTGTGCTAATTCTGTGCATGTACCTGATGATCCTGCTTGGAAATGGAGTCCTCATCTCAGTCATCATTTATGACGCTCACCTGCACACCCCCATGTATTTCTTCCTCTGTAATCTTTCCTTCCTGGACATTTGTTATACAAGCTCCTCTGTCCAACTAATTCTTGACAGCTTTCTGACAGTGAAGAAAGTTTCCTTTTCTCAGTGCATGTTACAAATGTTCCTCTCCTTTGCCATGGGGGCCACAGAGTGTGTTCTTCTAGGCACCATGGCACTAGACCGCTTTGTTGCCATTTGCTTCCCACTGAGATACCCTGTCATCATGGCCAAGGATAGGTACGTGCCCATGGCAGTTGGATGCTGGGCTGCTGGACTTGTTGATTCTACGGTACAAACATTCCTTGCAGTGCAATTGTCATTCTGTTCTAATAATGTCATTCAGCACTTTGTCTGTGAAATTCTGGCTGTTCTGAAACTGGCCTGTGAAGATATCTCAGTCAATGTGGTCAGCATGGCAGGGTCAAGTCTGCTCGTTCTGGTTATCCCAGTGTTAGCAGTTTCGGTCTCTTACATTTTTATTGTTGCCACTATTCTAAAAATTCCTTCTACAGAAGGAAAGCGGAAGGCTTTCTCTACTTGCTCTGCCCACTTCATGGTGGTGATTATATTTTATGGAACTATCTTCTTCATGTACACAAAACCCAAGTCTAAAACCACGACTGATGCAGAAAACCAAGATGTCTTTGAGGCCCTCATCTCCCTCTTCTATGGAGTGATGACTCCCATGCTCAACCCACTCATCTACAGTCTAAGGAACAAGGATGTGAAGTCTGCTGTTCAGAGAATGATGAGGAGGAAACTCTGATAAAACAAATACTGATTTATGATATGTGACTAAACATTTGAAGTGGTTGTAGACACAAAATTCATAGAGAAGAACAGCATGTGAAAACAGGTTCCAAACAATGTGACATTCAAAAACGTGTTGATGTGCTGGAAGTGTTTTGGTTGCTTTTGTTACAATTAGTTTGTTTTTTTCTTCTAAAGGTAGAAGTGAGACACATTCCTGGTTGTAAAATATACTATTACAGAAATGCAAAAATAATTAAATACTTTTAAAAATGTGACCAAAGAAAACTAAACAAATTTTAGAAAGTAATAGACAAAATATGTTCTTAAAAGCACTTTACAACCTGTAGTAGGTACATAATCAGTGAGTGTGCAAATGAACACTAATCAGCACACAGTGAAGCCCGTTCATTTTTATTTGCTGTTGTTTGTATTCACCACACGTGTAAGTTTCTGATAGAATCTTATCTGTTTATTATTCTACAGTATCCCAAAGACTTGTAACAGAGCCTATAACATAATAAATGCTAAATGAACATTTTAAAATAAACACATAAGCCATCTGATGTATAATGTCAGAACTATACTGCTGAAATAGCGGAGGTACCAAAGTTTACTAAAATGAAATGGTCTAAATTAAATACATTATATATATTGATATTTTGTCATATAAACATTGTTTAGTAGCTAAGGCATTACCTTTTGTTTTCTTATGATCCTTATAATTTAGAGGAACAGGATTTTGCTTCTCAATTACTAAAATATTTCTGAGACTTGGTTCATAATGAGAAGAGATGGAAGAGTTCACTAATAATGCCTTTTGGGTTTCAACTTCTTAAAATACAGGTGATGTAGTAGCAGATCATTCCTTTTGGATTTTTTTCAAGGTTTTTTTAATTGAATTTTTGTACATTTTATACAAAGCATCTTAATCATCTGGAGCTGGAGAGCTGGCTCAGCTGTTAAGAGCACTGACTGCTCTTGCAGAGGACAGGGGTTCAATTCCCAGCACCCACATGGCGGCTACGAACCGTCCTTAACTCTAGTTCTAAGGGAATCCGAAGCCCTCTTCTGACCTCTGCAGCATTGCACAACACGGGTGCACTCATATACATAAAATAAAAATAATAAATAAAATATTTTAAAAAAACATCTTAATCATCTTTATATTCCCTCCCCCATCCAAACTCTCCATAGCCCCCCCCCACTGGATTTCGTGCATTCTGTCATCTATGTTAAGGCTTATCAAGTCAAGTTTGTGTACTCAAATGTCCCTCAGTGAAAGTTCATCCACTGTAGTCTGGAAAGTTCTCTTTCCTTCTCTGCCTGGGATCATCCAGCTCCTAAGCAGCAAAACAGCCATACAGAACTTGTAACTAACAACACTGTTGTAAGAAGATGCATGGCAAACGATGTTGCCAAGTTCTTCAGTGGACTGAGGAGACACGGGGTTTGGGGCATCGAGGAATGAAAAAGTCGGTCTAAAATTAAAATTATCTCTATTTGTTGAACAGTGCAGTCATGTGAGGTAGCACTCACATTAGCGATGGTTACTACACTTGTAGTGAGGGAGCCAGATGTGGCCAGCAGAGTGAAATATAAAATTAAAGATTGTAGTTACTTCTTATTGAGCCCGCTAAACTTTCTTGTTATATTTCTTGTTATTGTAATTTCACAGAGTGAAATGGAGCATGTCAGGAGGGAGCCTTCATTAACCAAAACCGGTAAGTTATTTGATCAGAGTCTACCTGCGACTCATAACATGTTAGGCATGTAACAGTATCAGTGAGTAAACTTCTCCTATGATAAACCACAGAGGTTCAGAGACTGTTTGATACCATACCCTAACCATCCTACCAAAACTACACACACAGACACAGGCACAGACACAGACACACAGACACACAGAGACAGACAGATGGATGGACGGATCGACACACACACACACACACAGACACCCACAGACACACAGACACACACACACAGACACACACACAGACACACACAGACACACAGGCACACAGACACACATAGACACACACACAGACACCCACAGACACACAGACACAGACACACAGACACACACAGACACCCACAGACACACAGACACACACACAGACACACAGACACACCCACAGACACCCACAGACACACAGACAGAGACACTGACAAACACACACAGACACACACACAGACACAGACACAGACACAGACACACACACACACACACACAATATGGGAAGAAGTCACACGTTGAAGCAAGGCTGAAAGGACTGCACTAACGCAGCAGTAATAAGGTCGTTTGGGTGGGAAATGTCAGGGTCAGCTTGCAAATGAATCTTGAGCCTTGTGCTAATTTGTAGGTTTGACCTGGACCTCTCCCCTTGAGTCTGAACCCTCTAACGGAGCAAAGTGTAGTTTCAGAATCACTGCGTTTGGTTAGACAGGATGTACTTTGCATAACTGCACCTCACTTAGGAGCCTGACGTTCCCATCCTAGAAAGCAGAGACATGAGTGCAGCAGTTGTCCGAGAAATAGCAGAAAAGTCCCTTATCCTAGGAATAGCAGCAGAGTAATTTCCCAGAAGGTGGAGACCACGGAAGTGCCTTTGGATGAAGCATGCTTTCCAACTCCCCCCGCAGTGTATGAGCTACCACCGGCCTCGTGATTTCAGATCACTGCCCCGTCTTTCTCCTTGTACTCATAGATTCAAAGGCTCTTTGGGAGAAATAATTTTGTTTTATTCATTCAGAGTTCAGACAAAAAATTAAAATAATCAATAAATAGATATTGAAGTAAACCATCATTAATGAGAATCTGTACCCATGTAACCACATTCAGTGTAAGTAAGCCAAGCTATTTTGAAAGTAGTATTTTATTAAATACATTTGGAAAGTAATATTTTATTAGCTATATAACTTTTCATTTTGAAAGGGCATATTACTTTACTTCAATGTGTATGATTTAAAGAGCTGCATCTAGGAATAAGAAAAAATAAATATTAAAATAAAAAGATACGAGGGCTGGAGAGATGGCTCAGCAAATAAGAACATTGACTTTTCCTGCAGAAGACCCAGGTTCAAATCCCAGCACCCACATGGCAGCTAGAAACAGCATGTAACACCAGTTCCAGGGGATTCAAGAGTCTCTTCTGTTCTCCATGGGCATTGCACAACTCGAGTGCACTTACCTACATGCAGGGAATACACACATACACATAAAATAAAATGTTTTAAAATCAAAAGATATGAAACACGTTAAGCAAATTATTCAAACACTGATATTTCTATGTTAATGAGTAACAAAATGTTTTTTTGGCCAAGTAAAAATATTTTTTCAAATGAGTAGATTGTTGCATTATAAAGTAGATGAATTTAACTAAGAAGACGTGCAATTCTGAGTTTTTGTCCCTTAATAAAAGACTTTCAACATACAAGAAGGAAAACAATATAACTGACTTCATGTCTTCCCCAAGTGTTAAAACAGTAAACAAACAAGGAGTTTTAAGGATGCAAAAATTTGAACAAAAAATTAACTCAACTATTATAGTAGAATGTGATTAAGATTGATATCACTTATGAAAGCGAGAACCTATTTAAAGTTAAAAAATAAATTGGACTTTTGAAGTGGCTCAGTGGAGGTGTGCTTGTTACATATCTATATTGAAAATGGGATTTTTTCCGTCTTTTAAAAACAGTCTCCCTGTAGCCCAAGCTGACCTGGAACTCTCTATGTAGACCAGGCTGGCCTAAATGATACAGAGGTCTGTCTGCCTCTGCCTCCCAAGTGCTGGCATTAAAGCCTATGCCACTAGGCTTAGCTTGGAAAGTTCCTACAGGTCACCTTTAAAACAGTGTGTGTGTGTGTGTGTGTGTGTGTGTGTGTGTGTTCATCTGGGATGTGTGCATGTGAGTGCAGGTGTTCTGCACCTGTGGTTATAGGTGGTTGTGAACCACCCAACATCAGTTCTCTGAACTAAACATGGGTCCTCTTTGGAAGCAGTTTGCAGTCTTGATCACTGAGCCATCTTATCAGTCTCTCATCAGTCATGGAGATATTACAGTAACTTAAGAATAACTCATTCTACAAGGACATGCTTGGTTTTTCTCAATGCAATGAATTTTCATAATTGTTTGTGAGCTCAGTTGCCACCCAGGCTGTTTTCATATTCATGATCTTCTACCTTCATCCTACTGATTTGATGTATTGTGACATGAGTCAATATGTCCAGGCATAAATTTACACACACACACACACATCATATGCACACACAATAAATATAATTAAAATTTAAGTATATATATATATATGTGTGTGTGTGTGTGTGTGTGTGTGTGTGTGTGTGTGTGTGTGTGCAGGCATGCACCTCTCCTGTCATGGTGCATATGTGGAAGGGAGGTCAACTTGTGAGTGTCAGTTCTCCCTTGTCACTGTGGGATCCAGGGATCAAACTCAGGTTATCAGGTTTATAAGGCAAGTGCTTTTACCCACTGAACGATTTTGTCAGTCCATAAATTTCTTTAACTTGTGAACATTTGCAGTAAAAGATCAACATTTTTTTGCTAGGTTAAAGGCAGGAGGATCTTTGGGGCTCATAGGCCCACCAGCCTAGCCATAAAATGGTGACCTACAGATTCAGAGAAGGATGGTGTCTTAAAAAATAAAGTGGAAAATGACAGAGGACACCTGTTATCCATCTCTAGCTTTCAAATACACATGCACGGCTGCACCAACAAGCCTATACAAGTACACTCATGCATATACCACCCTTACAAAAAGAAAAACTGAAATTCTTATACATAAGGAATTTAGAAAATGCCTGGATAAGCAAGGTGGATGTTAATTTTCACACAGAATTCTTAAATATCGGGGCTGGAGAGATGGGTCAACGGTTAAGAGCACAGGGTGTTCTTGCAGAGGACCTGGGTTCAATTCCCAGCCTCACATGGTGGCTAACAACTGTAACTCCAGTTCCAGGGGACCTAATGCTTTCTTCTGACCTCCATTGGCATTGC